GTACAAAAATAGGCGGTTGTAACATTTTACAGGAACACTGAGCACAAACAACGAAATCCAAATATAAAAGAGTAAGGTGGTTATTTTATGATAATCATAGGGAAAACACCGAGTGCACACGGCAAAGTTCAAACGGAAAAGAGTAAAATGATTATTTTAATGGTAATCCTGTTTTCCAACTGCACTTTTGTCTACACTAAATTCAAATGATGCAAGACGTTGTAGAACTGCAAGACAGGGTGGTGATGATCGCGCGCAAAGACAGGCTCTGGGAGTACCGTGCCACTTTATTCCTCTAACCGAGGATGATTTAATAGCTTCATACAGTTTATCTTACAGACATAATCCGGATACGGTTGTTGAATCAAGGTATAAGAATAAAGTTTTAATAATAAATCAGTATAACGAAATTTCGAATAATAGAATATATACTCATTCAATAGAACAACGTGGAAAAAGAGAAACTGACGAATTTGAATCTTGGTATAAAGTAAGTTTATTTGGAACGAAACAGATCGACGTTGAAGAATTAAAAAATTAGTAAATTAATAAATTATCTTTATTAGCTCGAGGCCCGGACTTTACCATGGAAGTTGAGTGGCCGGAGGGGTTTACCCCTCCGCCGGACCATATCGTTTCGGCAATCCTGTTATCGGAAGATGAAGAAGACGACTCTGAATAATTAATTTGAAGAGAAAACTGTTTATTAAATTGAATTTATTTTCATGATGCTAATTATCATATATATTTTTTGTTTAATAAATCAGTTTTTATCTTTATCTGAATCCCGTTTATTATATTGGATTATTAATTATTTTCTAAAAATAAGTTTTTGTAATACAGTAGGTCTTCTGGTTCTGGTATAATGTCGATAAATTCAATTAAGTTCTGACAATTAATTTTTTCCAGATTTTCCATTCTATTTTCTGTCATATCATACAGAAACCCCTTTATGTTACGGGTGATCTCATTTAAATCCGCTTCGGTGTACGGTTCGGATACAAAAATTACAATCAACACTATTATTCTGCTTGTTTTGTCTGGTTTAATATAATACATTTGATTACCATACTAATTGACTATTATTATAGTACACCAGCTTTTGTATCCCTGAAGGGCCGCATGTAACAATATGACGATGACGACGATGATCGAAATGATATAACCGATGCCGAAGTCCGTCTTTTAAAAAAAGATTTGGCAATTAGATATTATGACGAGGATAAAACATTTGTTTACAGAGTTGATAAAAGTAATAAAAAAATGCTCAAACCAAAAAACTTATTACAATCGAAGAAAATCATTTTGGGAAAAAGTAATAGATCAGAACTTGAATCATACAGATTGAAACAATTAAACGATTTGTTTATTGAAATAGACGGTGTTAAAACATTCGGTATAATTTCGAACACTGACGCTGGTATAGATGTTAAGAAAAAATAATCGTGTAAGCTCTGTGTTAAACATTTTGGCCCTTTAGGATTTAATATTCTGATAGATAAATCTATCGCCGTAGACTGTTGCGTGTTGTGTATAAAAAGACTGCACGCATTGATAAAATCTAATGAATTTTCGTTGCTAGAACTCCAGATGTATTTGACGAAAAAAATACAATATCGATATAGAGCGCCTTTATTTTTCGATAATAAAAATTCTTCTCCTAAAAATTTAAATTTAGTACCTTTAACTGATATTAAAAATTTATACGCGTCTACTTATAATAAATTTGATATAAAATGTGGTAAAAGACTTAAAATGAAAACACATATTGATGATTTATGTAGTAAAAATTCTTGGTAAAAAAAATATGAGACTTAAACTATAGAATTATTAATAGAAAAATTTCACTATCGGTTTGACTAGTCCTTATAATTATATTATAATATAGTTCATAAGACAACTTAATTATAATTAACAGTCGTTATACATGATAGAATTTATTAATTATAAATCATTTTCTAATAATAATATATTATTGTGCTATGGTGGCTGCATGTGACATGTTCTGGTACAAATTCCCCGATTCACATGGGTCGCAATTAAGGGTGTGTACCTTGAGTTCACGATTTAAGGATTGTTCCTCAATCAGTGAGATCAAACACTTATCATCTATCTCTGCGAAGCCCGTCAACGAAATATTTAAATGAAAATTTAACCATCTATACTTCATAAGTTCACTTATACTTGATTTGAATTTCAAAGACTAAAGAACATTGTAGTAAGCAAGTTACTACCTAACAATAAAACCAATTCCACAGGTACATAATTAGTATAATATACTGTAGATCGGCATAAATCGGATATTAGAAACGGAAATAGGATTTCCTACTGGTTAACATAAGGTGACAGACTCACTGAATAATATAATGACTCAGGAAGCACTGTACACGACGATATTCAAATATAAAATATAAAAGAGTAGAATGATTATTTTAATGAAGTAGACCATAGATTAACATTTTAGTATTACGCAGAATTATATTGGGAAGTCATAAAATGCGTGGGCTGGAACGATGACCACACAAATCACATCCGTGAGCCGAGATACAGTATCCATAGGCAAGGGGTACGGGGAACCTCATATATAAGGGAGCCCGAATCGGCCTGTTTTCAGACGTGTACTACCACCCATTAGTGCAAGCACCTTCACGCCACTCTGTACAACAATATTTTGGACTTAGTAAAATTATTGAAGTGTAATAATAAAACTCACAATATTATTTTATACAACAACTGTTCTCTTATTTATTTAACAACCACGACTACAACATCAGAAGAGTGTCTGCGACCTGCACATTAACGTACTGGTAGCCACTTATCTACTATTAGCACTACAATAGTAGGTACCAAGAACCAAGATTATGACACTGGTGCAGTCGAACAAAGGAGGTTCAAGGAGTCAAAGACGAGGCGAGCAGTCAAAGCGGCGGATTTAAATTTCCAAAGGCGAGTCGAGCAGTCAAGGCAGCGGATTTCAACTTCAAAAGGCGAGTCCAGCAGTCAAGGCGGCTACATTCAACTTCGGAGATCCAGTCCAGACGCAGCGGCTACACCACGTCAACAGCTCCACGGAGGTAACAGTCAAGGTCTGATCAACCAAGGCGACTCCGGAATCAACGAACAATTAAAGACGGGCCAGCAGACAATCAAGGAAAATTAATTAAATTAAATTAAATGGTTAAAGCGCGTACATTAGGAAATTAAATCATTTAGAGAAATTAATTAGTAATTAGAAATAGAACACGTATTAATATTATAATTAATAGTAAATGTATTAACGACTTTAAATTAGAAGGGAAGTCAAGTTCGTTGTCATGGATTTCGAATTCACCAATATGAAGAAAACTGACATTGTGCTAATATCAGGAGCAATCTCAAACAGCTTAAGCAAGTGTAAAATTTGTAAGCTTGAGGGGAAGCCGCTTCTCTTGCCACTTCATGAACAGGTAAGAATAATGACTGTTCGTGAATTACAGTTGGCAGAGAAATCGATAAAGCGGATTTTCCACAACAAAAAGGAAGTGGAGACGACCTGTATAGCACAGCTTAATAAAAGTCTGAATTCAAAATTAAATAATCTAACACCAGAGTTCATAAAAAATTATATTTTACGTGGAGATAACATATAAATTTTTTTATAAATGTAGTGGTATTGTTTGGGGGATCGTACGATAGAAATATCCTAAGTAGATTAGGGTTAGGACATATAGAAATACTAAATATCAGATGCTATGATTTGAATTTTGATGGAAACTTCTACATGATATTAGAAAAATTAAAAGGAAAGGTAACTGAAAGAATTTTCGAATTCAACGTAGGTAGAATCCAGAAAAATGGTAGACTATTGAATCTAACCGAAGCACATAACGGCATCTGTGCACAAAAACACAAAATAACGTACGCTCACGACCCAAAGACGGATGTGAGATTTACCAAATGCATATTCAACAGAATGGTTAGGGAATATGGGTACCAGAATTTGGTAAAACAATTCCAACAAATATAGACAATACCACATACAGAACACCACGTTGTGAAATATAATTTTTACGAATTTATAACTTTTATTATGGCAACTAACAAATAGCTTAATTAACACATTAAAGTAAATAAAAGAGCAGGAAGTAACGATAGATACTAGTAAATAATTAAAATAGAAATAAAATAGTAATCTAGAATAAATTAATTTCAGAATAGAAACGGAAAAAAAATACATAGAAATCGAGCGGTAGATAATAGGGGCATATTTAATCTATTATTGTTGGAGATAGATAAATGTTGCACTATTATATACCGAACGGTTTGACAACTTAAGGAAAATGTTGGAGTTTGATCGTTTGGTGGTTGGTTCAAAAGTCGTGTGTATAACGGATTTTTTAACGGAAACACCAATAGATCGAATGGCCAATAAATCTCAATAAGAAGTTACAAGGACAAGGTCTTGTTAATTTAGCCAGTGTCGTGGAAGGATGCTTTGATTTGCAGCACACTCTAACGTCACGGGTTCGATTAGCAAGATAAAAACACATACGAAAATAGAATAGAATAAAATCAATTTAGTACTTGTCTCGATCATGTAATGGAACTTAAAATACAATAGTTAATTGCTGGTCTGGACCTGTAGTAAAAAGATATAATCAAACCACAGTATAGGAAAAGTAATAGGCCTGTATTCAGACGTGTACTACCACCCATTAGTGCAAGCACCTTCACGCCACTTTGTACAACTTTATTTTGGACTTAGAAAATTATCGAACGTTTTAATAAAATCTCACAATATTATATCATACTTCAACTGTCTTATTATTATTATCATCCACGACTACAACATCATCAAATAAAGTGTCTGCGACCTGCATCTATAAAAACTTGGTAGCCACTTATCTACTGTCAGCACTACGATAGTAGGTACCAAGAACCAAGATTATTACATAATAGTAGGACACAAGTACCTAGCAATAGAAATAGAAATACGTTACTTAATAATAATAGTGTTAGCAATGTACGTAGTAGCAAACACTATTAGTAGGAATATGGCTGAAGCAGCTGATCTGCGGTGGTCGGATATTGATAATTTAAGGAACATAGCACCGAATAGTACAATTAGCAATATGGATGAAGTGGAAGAAATTAGTGATAGCGTTAGTAATAATGACAATTATAGAAATATACATATTAACAATAATGGAGAAGGTGTTATGGGGTTCCTTAGTGTTAGGGATGACTTAGATGTAATAGAAAGTATTTTTAATGAGGTAGAAGATAGGTGCGTAGTTAGGTTGATTTTTGATGAAGAGAAATGACATCGTTGCACTTCGATGTAAATTTCTTCGAGAAATTTGTACGTTGCGCGAGATGATTGTTTAATAGAAATAGTATAACTCAAAAAAATACACGAAATAGCACAATCATTAGACAAGGTTCAACAACAAATCGATAATGAAATATTAACACAATCAGGACAGCTATACTCCGGCCCACGAGAGAGTATCCCGCCTGACGAAAACTCGTCCGATTCCGCGCATTCCCCACTACTCGGCATGCCGACAGCTGCCCGGCACCGGCCGGCAGCGCTCGACGCTATACAGTGTGGGTTGTAATATAAACTGTTTACAGACTGTTGTAGCGTTTGTGTTTTTGTTCTGCGTCGTCGCGTCGATTATTAATTGTATCATCTGCTTCGTGTACACAGCGCGCTTATTTTTTAAAAATATTATTTGCACTGTGATCTGTGATATACTAATATTTTCAAAATGAGTGACAATGAGACCATGAGTACAAACACTTCTGTCACGCTGGCTGTTGACAATTTGCAGAATCAACAAGTATCATTGAGTTCACCCGTTAAAAAAAATCGATGTGGAGCGGTAAGCATTTTTCAATTATTTTAAATTATATATTTTAAAATTGGTAAACGGAAAAAAACCATGGAAACAAAAACCAAATTTTTAAATTTTGCTATATTATGTTATATATTATAGTTATGTCATAGTTTTAATTTTCTAATTAAAAATGTAGATCAATAATCCAGCTTATACTATAATTCAAAACAATTGTATCGGTAACATTATAATAATATAAATTCTATTCATTTTTTAAATATTTTTTTTATATATATTTTTTTTGTAGTTTTTAATACGATTACTTTTCTGTTTTTTTTATTATACTTCCATACAGCTTACAAAATATATAAGAAAATATCAAAACCTTTTTTAAAATAAGTTACTTCAATACAAACATTGGTTGCTAGAGTAATAATAATAATAATAATAATAATAATAATAAAAATAATTTATATTATAAATTAATTTTACAATAAGTTATATCTTACAAATATGCACATAAAATGCGTCTGTAAGAAATAATTATGTTTATATACTTTTAAGGCTAGGCTTAGGTTAGACACGGAAATATTACTCTTAAAACTGAAAATATAGTATAATAAAGTTAAGCTGGTTTTTATGTATGAAAATAATAAAAATATATTGTAGGTATGAACTTATGTCTAATGAAATAATATGACATAAAATAGCTTTTGTTTTTTTATTCCGTGGTTTTTATTTTTTTGTTTGGTTTTTTTTCCGAGATTCTTTAAAATTATATAAATAGTACTAGCCAGCATACATTTTTTACTTAACTGCATATTTGTTTCAGTTCGTTGGAAGCAAACAGAGAATATTGGTAATTAATATGTATAAGGCCAAAATTCAAAAACAGCCAGATGCGAAGTTCAATAATTTAATGAAAATAATATCCGAAGAAAGCGGCATTGGATACACTACAGTTTGTAAAACTGTAAGAAATTATAAAAACAATAAAGAAGTGAAGTCACCCAATAAAACAAAAAATCGTCCAACAATCAACGACAAAGTCGACGATTTTGAGAAAAACGCTATCAGGCAAAAAATCCATGGATTTTGGATTAAAAATGAGATTCCAACATTAAAAAAAATCGTTCAGGCCATCAGTGATGATATGGAGTTACCTACAATACCCAGGACATCTTTGCAGCGTATTTTAAAAGAATTGGGGTTTGAATATACGAAGAGAAACCGGAACAGCGCCCTGACCGAGAGAGGAGATATTGTGGTATGGCGGCAAAAATATATTCTAGACATACGACGTTATAGGAATGAAGGTCGAACAATATATTTTCTCGACGAGACATGGGTGAATGCGGGAGAGACTTGCAACAAGGTGTGGATGGACAAGACAATCAAATCGCACAGAGATGCTTTCCTAAAAGGACTGTCGACCGGGCCAAAAAATCCGACAGGTAAGGGCAAGCGATTAATTGTTGTTCATATCGGCTCAGCTGAGGGTTTCGTCGAGGGTGGTCTACTGTGTTTTGAGTCAAAAAAAAACACAGCAGACTACCACGATGAAATGAATGGGGACACCTTCTATGACTGGTTTTGCGGAATTTTGCCTAAACTGAAAGATAATTCCGTGATAGTCATGGACAATGCTTCCTACCATTCCGTCAAACTGGACCCCATTCCCACAAATGCTTGGAAAAAGGACAAAATTGTACAATGGTTAAGTTCCAAAGGTTGTAGTATCGAGACGCCGATGGTCAAACATTTAATGTTGGACAAGGTCAAAGAAATTAGACATCTTCATGACAAATATGTGATTGACGAAGAAGCATCAAAATCCAATAAAATTGTATTGCGTTTGCCGCCTTACCATTGTGAGTTAAACCCAATAGAGTTGGCGTGGGCGGCTGTGAAAATTCACGTAAAATATAATAATACAACGTTCAAGCTAAACGACGTACAAAAATTACTGGTCGATGGCGTCAATCTTGTAACACCAGACATGTGGGCCAATTTCGTCAGACATACCATCAAAGAAGAAGATAAATTGTTCAATATCGATTTCATTACTGAAGAATTTGAAGAAGAAGGAACATCTCACGTATTGACAATTACAGGAGATACTTCTTCCGATTGTTCCGATTAATTTTAAATTGTGTATAGTTATAATAATAATAATAAGTTGTTTTTTATATTTATGACGTGTACCTATATGTACTAAAATATTTTATAATAATAATATATATACATAATAAGTTGTTTTTTATATTTATGACGTGTACCTAGCTATTAAAATATTTTATAATACAGTAGACGCCGCTTATAAGACTCACGGATATAAGGTTCAGTCGCTTATTAGACTCAAAATCGCCTGGAACCTAACCTAACCGGACGTATCCAAATACATTAAAAAAAAATCGGTTGTAAGACTCAACACTTCGGTTATAAGACTCAAATTTCCATCACCGTGGTAATAATTTTAATATATAATACGAATACGAACAGTATATTTTCGGAATATTAGAACAAAATAAAAAACAAACTAAAATTACAAATTTTTTTCAAAATAAATAATAAATACATTATATGTACAACGATAAAACGTTATTAAATAACGATGAAATTGTATCAATTAAAAAAAAAAATAGTCATCGTATGTTTGTACGTATGGCACTACATCACTCTGTATAATGTATGTAATCACTGCATACACTCTGTATTCACTTCATGGCATGCCGCAGTCGCGGAAATAGTGGGGGAAATGTGGCCTCGGAACGGTATCCGCCGTCAGTATGCATGCGCAAAACGAGGATACTCTCTCGTGGGCCGGAGTATAGAAGCGAGCGATACGTGTAATTATTTATTTTATTTAACATTGGACTTGATAGTATTCTCAGTAATGTTAATCATTTTTGTAAATATAACGTATAAATGCAGGCTTACTTCGTTGAGACGACCACAATATGAAATGGTACGAGTAGGTAAAAGTAAACTCTGCGTGGATAATATCAAAATTGAACAAAAATTAAATAAGGCGAACGAAATCCACTCGGAGGGGAGGATGTACCACAAGTACAACATTATACAACAAATAAACAAACAAAGTGTGTGGTGCATCATACAAAACATTTAAGCCGAGCTATAAGTCTCACATACACTTCTTTGTTCAATCATGTTTATATGATAGTGACTGGGAGTATATGTCAAGTGTAAGAGGAGCACCACACAAAATAACCCCAAATAAAATAAACTATATAGAATTATTTTATTATTTAGAATATACTATATACAACAAGTATAATTAATTAATTAGAAAAAAAAATTTAAAAAACCATATTTAAAAAAAAAAAAAATGAAAAATTTTATATTGATAGTGATATTGATAATTTAAGGAACATAGCACCGAATAGTACAATTAGCAATATGGATGAAGTGGAAGAAATTAGTGATAGCGATAGTAATAATGACAATTATAGAAATATACATATTAACAATTATGGAGGTGTTATGGGGTTACTTAGTGTTAGGGATGACTTAGATGTAATAGAAAGTATTTTTAATGAGGTAGAAGATAGGTACGTAGTTAGGTTGATTTTTGATGGAGAGAAATGACATCGTTGCACTTCGATGTAAATTTCTTCGAGAAATTTGTACGTTGCGCGAGATGATTGTTTAATAGAAATAGTATAACTCAAAAAAATACACGAAATAGCACAATCATTAGACGACAAGGTTCAACAACAAATCGATAATGAAATATTAACACAATCAGGACAGCTAGAAGCGAGCGATACGTGTAATTATTTATTTTATTTAACATTGGACTTGATAGTATTCTCAGTAATGATAATCATTTTTGTAAATATAACGTATAAATGCAGGCTTACTTCGTTGAGGCGACCACAATATGAAATGGTACGAGTAGGTAAAAGTAAACTCTGCGCGGATAATATCAAAATTGAACAAAAATTAAATAAGGCGAACGAAATCCACTCGGAGGGGAGGATGTGACACAAGTACAACATTATACAACAAATAAACAAAGTGTGTGGTTCATCATACAAAACATTTAATCCGAGCTATAAGTCTCACATACACTTCTTTGTTCAATCATGTTTATATGATAGTGACTGGGAGTATATGTCAAGTGTAAGAACACCACACACTTTTAAATTTTTCATTATTTTTTTTTTTTAAATGTTTTTTTTAGAAGTGTTTTTAAAATTTTTTTTATTTTTTTATTCTCTACTTTTTAGTTAAAAGTAAATTTTTTTATTAAACGTATTAAAATATTTATGAAACAAATTTCTTATATTTAATAAAAAGTTGAAATACACACAACAACAAACAGAAAAAGAAAACAAAAAAATGAGTCTATCTTAGACAAAATCAACAATAAACGTATATCTTTTTGAAGTTTTTCCGTTTGCATTGTATCAAATAAAAGAAAAACATTTTAAAAGAGATACCCAAAACAATAACAAACATGACGCAAAGATCACTTGACACAGTGAAGTGCACTCAGCAAGTCTATATGGATACAGTTAATATAGAAAAATCGGAACCGAGCACAAGCTACATGATTGAGAAAAGCATAGCTGCTTTTGCTGGGGGTAAAGGAGTTGTTCCGTTCTTTTCCATCCCTACTGGTGAAGAAGATTATTTAGAATTTATGAAGTCCTTATTCTTTCTTTCCTCAAAAGATACTGCTATGAAAGCATCTGACTGTTTGGTACTTTATATCAACATAATAAGGGAATAAGGGGAATACGTCTGAGGAATATACATCTTGCGAGGTTGACTCAGCGACTATTAGAGTCAATATTGGTATATATTGGAACTTTATAACCAAGAGACTTACGGCTGCAAACATAGAAGGATGGTTGAAAAAACGTAGGGGAGCATATGCTACTGCCTGTCAAATTGCAGATGATGAGGAAGCCTTGTTGACATTATCTCCAGATCTTGGGTTCGCGGGAAAAGTTAATCAGTCAATGGCATCATGTTTTCCATTCAAAACTACTGTGTTTAGAGCCATCCAGGCTTTATCACAGAAGGAGATGCATGCTATGACTCCAGTAGCTAAAATAACCATGGTCTACTTCTCGATGGCAGAACTGACTGGATTTGCAGTGATTTATGACTGGATATTACTGAAAAATCCCATTTTATTGGCATGAAACGGATTAGCCAAACACAATGCCAACATGATTGCTGCTGTGAATGTATTCAAATCACTCGGAGAAGAAGCACCTTATTGTAAATTTCTTTATCCACCAGAAAAGTTACAAGTCTTTCAGCATTCTCGGCTCGGCGTTTACGTAGCTGTTGCCTTTGAAATATCCATGATGGAAGGAAAAACCTCCTACAAGAACTACCAGGGGGTCTCCAGGACAGACTTATCGCCCGAGTTGCAAGCTAAGTGTAGGCAAATAGTGACCTTATTTGGTGGGGCTAAGACTAAGACAACCTTCGCTCTTCGTAAAGAAATATTGCAAGATAGCCAAGAATTATCTGAATTGCAGACAGCATTGGATTCTGGTCTCCCACTTAACGTAGTAGATGCAGAGGGACCTGCAAGCCCAACATAGGATTAGAACGATAACTATGCTATACGTCAATCCCAATCTAATTATATACTGTGTATATACTGGAATCTCATAACGAAGAGATTAACTGCAGCCAGAGTTGGGCAAAATTTTATCTTGATAATTATTGGAATAAATCTGTATTCGAATGTTAACTATGATTATTCAAATAAAAAACTATTCGAATAATTTTCAACTATGTTTATTCGAATACATCTTGCACTTCCTCTTGAAAATATGGCCTTGGTTTCATGTGTTTCAGACTTGAAACCTGGTGACTACATATTAGTTAAATTTTCTACAACTAATAAAAGAAAGTTAACATATAAGTATGTGACCACAGTATTACAATTGATGAACAATAATGAGATTGAAATACAGTGCTTTGAAGCTACAGATGAAGAAAACACTGAGTTCATTGTAATTGAAAATGATATATCTGTAATAGATATAAGTGACATTGTGGGTAAACTACCTTACCCAGAACTAAAAAAAAGTGGTAGACAGTTAAAATCCATTTTTCCTGGAGTTGTTGATGTTTTTGAAAAGTTTTAAGCCTGATGATATTCTTTACTAGTCTTAATTTTAAAAATATAGTTAAAGATTCGCTAGCTAAATGGTGTATTTTCCAAGGAAAGATTAGGTCTATTGATGCTTTCGTTGATTATGAATCGTTTCTTATTTGCTATATTAAGTTGGCGCATAATGTGACAAATGAATTTTATAGATACTATCGTATTACAAACAGAGAAAATATACAAGGAGAAAGAGTTATCCCTCCCGAAGATGTCGGCTCGTATGCTAATTGGAGTGGAATCCAGAAATCAGATATCATTAGCGGATATTATGACAATATAGTTTTATTCAGGCCTATTAAAATTGAAAACAGCTATAATCACAGAATATTTTTGAATCCTTGCCTATCCGAATTTTCAAGACAAACACAAGAGTATTTAGTAGATGGTGATCCCGGGTATGAAATCAGACAGTGGATTGATAGATTTGTCCGCGTAAAACAAAATAAATTGCTTATTGGTATGAAATCTGTTCTTGGAGATGCTAGTACTTTTTGGATGAGATGTTCTAACCCGCAGAGATTACCGTCTTTTTTATCGCTTTTACCGAATCCCAATTATGTAAGTGTATTATATGGGAACCAGTATTCTTATCCTGATATGCGACTTTCCGTTGTTGATATTATTGCATTGACTCTTCTCAATATGATCAATGTATTCAAATATTTAAAACAGCAGTAGCTACCATCACTTACATTAGTAAGTATTGTGACTGGTCAAAAAATTGTATTATATTAATACTTCAACCAGACATTGTAAGAACGGCTCTTAATAAATTTTATTTATTCAGGGGAAATCAGTCACTGAACAAAATGTACGGGTATAAATGTATGAATATTTGATTTGTGATATATATTATACCTACACATATTTTTAGATGATAAATACAGATGTGTAGTAACCATAGACCTAATATAACATAATATATATAGGCTATAAAGTTACCATCACAATTCACAGTACTTGTAGAATTACTTCATCTCCAAACAAGGAATACAATACTAAAAAAGTCAAAGTTAATGATAAAAATGTACAGTCTCTCATGAAGTATCTATTGGAGAATGTTATGATGAGCGATACAAGTAAACTGAGAATAAAAATTACTCAGTCAAAATATCATGCTATAAAGATATATGAATAAATCCACCATATTAAAACTCCTTGTGGATTATTATATATTTTATACTTCAACCAGACGTTGTAAGAACGGTTCTTAATAGACTTCATTTATTCAGGGGAAATCAGTCAATGAAAAAAATGATGACAATGAGAGCGATTGGGAGGATATTGACGACAATAATAATAGTATGTCATTAAGTGATGACAATGATGGTGACAATAATGAAAGTATTTCATTAAGTGATTACAACGGTTAATATCATATTAATGAAGTAAGAGAGAACAAAGAAGAACTTTTAAAAATGTTCAATTTAACTTAATTGCATGGGTCTAATATGAATTATTTTATAAATGTACTAATTAGTGTTGTATATTATACCTTAGGAAGATAAGTTTAAAAAAAGATCCAAATTGTTAAGAGCGAGACGAGAAAAGGACATCGATTAATTCACTGATATCACGAATCCACCATGACCTCTCAAATCCAGAAATACGTTCCTGCGACTGATTCAACCCCGTCTTACATGGAAGTAAACCATAACGGAATTTGGAGTAGAGTGTATGATGACGACCAGTATAAGGAAAAACTTCATGAACCTGAGGCGTACACGATCGCAATTAAGGGGGAAATAGTCAAGAATATACCTTTATATCAAAAGGAAACAAAAATTAAATTAGCTAAAGTAAAGAAGGATATACGTGAAGTGAGGACTAAGAAGCGTTACGCTCGATTCGCTTGGTACTTCGGTTTTGTTGTTGCGGTTTGTTTTATTATTGTTTGCCTTGTTAGAGATTTGGGTTACTTATATCGTCACGTTGAGCGTACCACTAAATTTTGTTGTATTATCCCTGTTTATCACGTCGTTTCAAATTTAACTGTGCTGGAAAATCAAAGTAAGAACATTTCCTTAAAAACCTATGACAGGAGTGAAGTAAAAGAGGAATATGTAATCGGTAAGTTTGAGAATTTGACTTTGTCTGAGGGAGAGCATCTTAGTAGTTTTTATAATATTTTAGATGATGTTGTATTATCACACAAGCTTGTTATTGCGGCTTCTTTATTTTTATATTTTTGCGCCCATGGTTTTTTGATGAGGTTTTATTCTTTAAAAGAAAAAATAATGCAAGAAAAGGAAAGAGTTTGAACTGAGAAAAAAAAAAAAAAAAAAAGATGTCTCCCACAATAATTCAAAATTAATTAAAAACTCCAAAAAGGTGTTAATACTCACCATCAAAGGTTAAGCAAGCTTTAGATGCAATTAATAAAGGTAAATAGTAAAGTATAATTTGATTGTTTAAAGTTCTAACATAATTTGTTGTATTAGGGTTGAGTAAATCTGAAGCAAGCAAGACATTTAGGGTACCTCGTACTACATTGAGAAATAAAATTGAAGGCAGGTCACCGACAGAATCAATTGGGCATGGTGGAGTGTCATCTATACTTGGTAGTGATACAGAAAAATCATTAGTAGATTGGATTCTTACATGTGCCAATAAATGTTAAATGTGTTACCTATTTGTTATATTTATAAGATGTTGAATAAATTATTTCATTTAATCTTATAATAACTATTTTATTTTAAAAAAATAGTTACTTAATTATTATTTTATGTTCCTAATCGAGTACAAAGTAAGTACCTACCTACTGAATAAATGTTAAATGTGTTACCTATTTGTTATATTTATAAGATGTTGAATAAATTATTTCATTTAATCTTATAATAACTATTTTATTTGTATTTTTATAATTCTGGCCATAAATGGGTAATTATGATGGCCATAGATGGGGTTTAAACTCAAGTAAGATATAACCTTTTTATTTTATTTATGTATCTTTTAGTATGTATTTATAAATTATCGTGTATGAGGAATCTTTAAGAGATAGATGTTGTATGGTATTAATAATGTTATACCTATACCTACACAAAATTTTGTAAAGGTACTTCATACCATGACAAATTAGATAGGTATCACATCACAGTATTTTGATACGCAACATTCACTCTTTACTTCGCCATCATCGTAGTTCACCACTTATTGGCTGTCGATCATATACATAATATATATATAACATAGAACAAAATCAACTAATGAGAAGTGGAGAACTATGATATGAGCTAGAGGTGAAGGAGTATCTACTGCGCAAAACTAGTACAACTGTGATGATACCTATCTAATCTTTCATACTTCATACTTATAAATAAGAGTTTATGTTACATATTAAATTCATTAATACATTAAATAAGGACATGTTTTTCACGCTTAAAACTATATAGAAGCCACACTCGAAATGCCGATCGTGTTTTTCATACCTGCGATCGTAAGTACGACCCTTTGAAAACAATCCCATGAGCCAACCTGAGTTTAAACAATAATTGTTGTTTACCCGAGTCCCGGAAACTTCTACTGCAGTCTGCCGCGTTCAAGGCCATAGTCCCCGATTCATGCAGTCTTACGGTCATACGCCGATGTCCCGGCCTGCTGGACGCTGAAGCGCTCGGCTGTGTGTGAAGAACTGGATGGGACGCTGATACGCCTGGGTGCTGGATCGAGTACCGCACAGGGAAGTCGGAAGCGCCGTTGCCCAGGGCTGGTTGGTCCGGCGAGTTACAGAGTCAAACACTGTGGGCCGCTTCAATGATGGGCCGTTCAAAGTCATGGGGGCCGCGCTGACTGAAAATATGTTAAGAGTTAAAAATTGAAGAAATGGAGACTATAAAATAAAAAAAACTATGCACGGAATAGGAACGTACCTACCCAAGGGCAGCCAGTTTGTGAGTGTGCCGGTGAAGTACGGAAAACTCGGCGGGCCGAATTTCTACAATCCGGCCCCGCCGTTGCCCAACGGACGTCGGGAACGCCGAGACAAAATGAAAACCCACGTGGACCAACAATGGCAAGTGGCGATTGATCGACGTCGGGCGGCAGAAGTGGCGAACGTCGACGGCGGTGGACGGAATGTCCGGTTGAACTCGAGCGGAGCGGACGCCATATGAAGCGAACGACCGGCACCAGTCGAAAACGGGCGGCGCGGGCACCGAACACAAACCACGAGGGCGAACGTACGGCCGCCACGTCGGTTCACACACTATCCGGCGAACACGGGCGGCCCGGAAGCAAGACGGACATACTACACCGTGCGACCAGCCGGCCATGATGGCGAACAAAACGAAGCGGACGTAAAACGTCGGCGCACGCGGAACGGATCGTCCGGTGTACGCGAAATTGCGAACGACCCGGCACCGATGTCGAAGCTTGAAACATGACAAAATGTATTATAAAATTAAAGTTTATAATATTTTGTCACGACCCACGTGTTGTCGTGCTCGATGATGGTTCAAGATGGCGGACGGCGGCGGTGCCTGGCGCCTGGTGCACCGCGCAGTAGCAACGGCTGGCGCCGCGGCCGCGCGACCGTAAAAATGTGAAGAACTGTAGAGCATGGCTAAATGTATTGGTATATCTAGCCATGCCGCCATGGTGAAGACTGAAGAGTGAACGCAAACCGGCCCGGCGTCGGTAAGCAACTGCTACCGGTGCGACGCGCCGACGCCATAGAACATATTATTCTACGAGAAGAAGAGGACGGCGTCGAAACACTCGAAACAAAACAATGAACGTCGAACCAAAAACGGACGTCGGACACGTACTCTCAAAGTGTTAACGGACAGCGCTTCCCTCACCGCCCTGCCATATTGCTAATATATTTGATTCAGACGACATAACTCAGAGACAAAACAAACATGTAAACATACCAACATATGAGAGAGAAAATCCCTGTTTTGGGCTATTTCATGTTCTGGCACACTGTAACGGAAAAAATCTCTCTTTCTCTATCGACAAACACGATTTCTCTCTCTCTCTGTTATCTGTCGATTTTAGTTTATACCACGGTCGTATATTATATCTTTTTAGGTTCGGCGGTTTTTTTAAAACGGGCGGACTTTTTACTATCAAAAACACCTTTACAGTTGTTCATTATTATTGATGGCCCCCCGAGATTGTTTTAACAGACAATAGTTGCCTATTTTACTCCTTAGTCCTTGCCTATGAACAACATAGAAAACTATAGGCAAATTATAATAGGTATGTTATACAATCTCGGGGGGCAATAATAACAATTTGATCGCCACTAATTTTGTAAGGACTTTCGAGTGTCCTGTATTATCGTGACGGAATAACGAAACGCTGATTACAGTAGCTATTAGCTAAAAAATGAATCACTGCAAAACGGTAGACAATTAGCTTTTAATGAACATTTTCAAAATTAATGTAGGGTTACACCCTAGACGCCTACACCACGATTTAAGATATTATGGTTGCCCAACGAGCAATGATAGGTCATGGATGACACGATAAATGAATCCAGATACCACTACTATAGAGTTCTAATTTGCTTCACAAATCACTATTCCCCAAAGATTTAGGAGAAGAAAAATTATTTATTAACAGTGTTTTAAAAGAAATCAAAAAGTACATTGCATTTTATCTATTTTATTTAGTTTTTTATTATTTTAATAACAAAACTAGTATTATTATTTTGACTACTTATCGTGTACAAAGACACAAAAAAATAAAAGATAAAAGTAAAAATAAATACAAAATAAAAAAAAAACACACGTCATATTGTAAAATGAATACATTCATTGCTCCGTTCAGAATCAAAATTTGAACATATTGTATACATTATTGAATAATTATTTAAAATGTATGGTGATTTTGATTAATTTTATCAAAATTTAAACTTTAGAAAATTATAAAAAAAAATAAGCTAATATAAGTCTATAATATTTTTGAACTGTTATCATAGAAACTTATGGTTAACCATGAATTTAATTTCTAAGCTTTTTGACACAGCAAAATACAATTTATCGTATTATTTGTTGAAAAAAAAACAACATAATATAATTAATTTAATTTCTTACACCTATGAATTGCTCAAAAATATGTTAATTATAATTATTATGTACTCCTATCGTGTAGATAACAAAATAATAATTAAGTGATTAGGAGACGGAATCAATTTAATTGTTCGCTTAAATGTAAAACCGTAAAACTGACTTTCCTAAAAAATTCTTTTCTAACAAAAAATAATTGCATTAAACAGTATTTTGAAATGTATTATTAAAATATTCTATGCGTATTATATTGTAATAGTAACATACTAACATACTTTATTATGGTAAATCATCATAATAATATCGTAAATTATATCGTAAATTATATAATTTTATTTTTAAGCTTTAATCTAGTACCTAGTTTATTTTTGTTGAAAAGTCGGTAAGACGTTATTTGTCCAAATAACTTGATTCGTATTATATAAAACTAACGTTCTCTTTATAATTTCAAGCTCTTCGGATACTGTACTTAGTCGGAACTTTAACAACATGTTTTCTTTTTCTAATAGAAATAATTTCAATGCAATCTGAAAAACATAATACACTGTCACTGTACTGTCACCATACTAAAAACTGCAACAATTTGAGAATAGAAAATGCTAGCAAATTACTAAAAAGTAGTTTCTACAAAATGTATAGGTATATATATTTTAATCTTATTTAATAGATTATTGGCAATCTTCAAATAAGCGAATGGATATTTGAAGGGGCAAATAGGGCACTTAGATATAAAGAATATACCTGTTTGTTCTCTAATGTCTATCAACACGATTAGGTAAACGTTGATTTTCTTTACAAAAAAAATGATTAAAAAAATTACTTACCGTCGACTATTATATGGGTGGCTGGGTAGGTACTAAAACGTCTAAATAACCATAATTGTTTGGCAGTATTGAATATTAAAACCAATTTGTTGTCAAATTTAAATTATAACGATTTAATTTATGCATGTTTTATTCAGGAAAGAATTATAAGAAATAAGAAATAATTTATAATTTACTATTTACTATTAATTAATAATATTTCTTTTTTTATAGATTTTAAATTATAATACCTAAAACAGATTTTATATTCATATATATTTTACAAGTTTATAAGTTTAATGAGGGATGAGGTGCAAAGGTGGATAATTGGGAAATGGGAAACGATTTATGTTGACGGGAAAAAACTTAAATATGCCACTATGAGTACTTGAAATTAACTGTTTTTTAACAACGTTTTCAAATATCATATTACAGTATATTTATCTGCAGAATTCATCTTTGGGCCTGAGTCAACTTCTCAAACACTATAGTCACTAATTGCATACCATATGCATTATGCAACCCTTCTAGATAAAATGTATGCGCCTTTTCACCAAATGCCTCATTCAATGTTTCAAACCACTTACTTCACTTAATGTAGGTTGTGTAATATAATATAATAAATGTTAAAATAAAATAAATAATTACGTGAACATACTTAAAAAACAAATAAAAATATAACCTACTTCATTGTCTCTTCTACGTTTGGCTTCTCTGGACTTTTTAGCTGCCATGTTGTTCCTCTTTCTCTTTTCGTAATATTTAGCGTCTTTTTTTTCTCTAGGTGTATCTGTCTTCAGACGTCGAAGTTGCATCTGTTGCACACCATATATTTTACAATCACACACATAACTATGTAATTTGTCATTTTCTACAAAAAAAAAAATTAAATTGAATAATCATGTTCTAAAAAATGTTCAGCTGAACTATGAAAAAATAATGATACCTACTGCTATAGTTATTTTGTATGCTGCAGGACTGACAATTTGTTCTGGAGTTATTTTGACCAAAACTCAATGAATCCATTCAGTTGTACGATTTTATACTTCGTTTTATAGGGTATACCTCCTACTGGAAACTGCCCTTTTGTTGCCAATAATAAACATTAAAATAAATACTATATAGCTATGAAAAGTTATTTTTAAATTTTTAATACTACACTAACCACTATACAGGGTGATTCGTACCAATCATGCTTGGTCCTTAGTCATTGATCCCCCCGTTTTTTCCCGAGTGGTTTATGAGTTATTTAACTTTGTGTATTAACTATTAAGGATATAATAGGTCCATGATAATAGGTTTGGATGGGAGCTAGCTAGCTATAGTTTAATATGCTGGTTTAAAATGGTAATCGTTAATCTATCAATATTTATACTTAATAAACATTTTCCGAGTATAATAATTAATAAGACATACTAGATTGAGTATACTTACTTATTCTAGTTCCCCTGTATAAAACATTGACACCATTATAAACCCATATAGATTTAATATATTACCCATACATATTTCAATGTAAACTACTAAACTGTAAAGGCTATTAAGTAATAACTAAACGTAAACATATTTTTTTATGTTAGGTAATAATTGATAATATTATATACTTTATATACAATATGCAATATACATATATAGCCATATAGGTTGTATCTTATCCAGACTTTTACTTGGAATTAGAAGCGTTAAACGTAGGTAGGTATATAATAATATTTTAACAAATCATTGCCATTTAACTGCACTTTGACTTACCCACTTGCAAAATCGGTAAGCACGATTTCAGATGTATATTAGCAGTATTATTAGTTTTATTGCTACCTATATCAGATAATATTCATGAACGACTGTCGACTGTCGTACATAACTATATGAAGGAAAGCAAATACTGGTATATACGAATTTGGGAATCAGCGGTAATGACTGCTCGTTTGGTAGCAATATTTTGCTTTAATTTGTGTAACACTCATAAATATAAATGTATTTTTTTTTTTATCGTATTACATATATTATTTTAACGTCATTTTTTACTCCTATATATATATGAATTAAAATAATAATATCTGTATAGTGTATAAATGTATAATATACAGGTATGCATAATGCTATATTATTGTGGTATTCAATGGTTTGTGTCTATAAAACGTGAGTGATGACTATACAGCTAGGTATATAGGTGCATAATAATAATTTATCAGCTTGCACGCGAACGCAATAATTGTCAGTCGAGAAACTAAACACCATAATCATTTGTAACCTGATCTAAATTACACCCTGTACTAATTTCATAGGTTGGAATAGACATTGTATTGTGGTAATTTATTAAACCACTTTTTATATTGTTATAATATAACATTATAACGACTATATTTCCCAATGCCTGCATGTATAGCCGTATAGGTACACAACGTTTATCGACGGTGACATCGAAAAATAACACGAAATTTAAAAATTACCAATCTACCCTATTCCTATTATAAATATGTATTATGAGGTATACAAATCACATAACATCTATCAAAAAAGATTCAATTTCGAATATCCTGCAATTATATATGTTATATAGGTATATTATTGTTTATTTTTACATATTATATCAGCCATCTTAATATTATGCATTTATGCTAAACTCATAGAAAAACTGCTTATTAGTTATTACATACTAGAATATAATTGATACCTACATAATAAATAATAATAGGTAGGTACCTAGTATAATATACCTACACCATATTATTTAACATGCATGTTGTGTGTATAATAATTATATTCAGTGCCACATAATCAAATAATCAATATTATTGTTATCTTTTCAAAAAACAATTTTTATAACAATTATTTTTTAATTATGTTACTCCATGCATAATATTGGTATTATTATTTATGATTCCGGACTCCGGTGTAAAGTTACGAGGACTAATGACTGATGATTATATAGGTATAGGACTGGGATGTCGATGCACTTTGCATTGTTTTCCAAAGCTTAGGTATTTACTGTGCGATGCTCGTATTGTCACAAATTTGTTTTATGTTATTTGATTCGAGTCGATTGAGAATAAGAAAGTTTATTGTGAATTTTTTAGTTTTTAAGATCATTTTTCTTAATTTTTTAGAGTTTTTGGAGCTCTTATTGAGCTTTTGGAAATAAAATATGAATTTTAAATTTTGTATTAAGATTCTTACACGTCATTACGTCAATATGATTTCTGTATAATTATCACGGATTATAAAGGAGGTAAGTACTCGTATTATTATATTATGGGACAATTTAGACATAGATAACGAGTCTATAGGCAACGTCTACGGTAAAAGTTGATGAGATCTAGTTAGCTGTACAACTTTTTTTTTATTCTTACTAAATTAGTAATGCTACTAATACTTTAGAAAAAAAACAAGAATACACTTGTAATATATTTTATTAATACATTTTTATAATGCATTTTTTGAGTTTTCCCAGTCATTTTTGGATTTTTAAAGAGTATTTTTTACGATTTTCTAGGGCATTATAAATTTATAACCCAGCCTTACTGATGAGTCACCTAGTAGGTTGTAGGTAATAGGTAGGTTTTGTTGTTATTTAATAAATATACAATCAATAGTTGAAATTTATAGTAATATTTAGAAAAAAATTTTAAATTAAGAATAAAGACTACCTAAATAATATTGTAAAATGTATTTGTTGTAAAAAATTGTTGTCTGTCTAATGGATCTTTGCTCTGGATTACGGTCTTATAATATAAGACCGTGCTCTGGATTATATTTATTATTTTACCATAGATATAATATATTATCTATATGGACTATGTATTCTCATTTGTCACAGAATAAAATAATGGTAATATTTACACACAAATTTTAATTTTCGTGTTTTCAATCGAAAGCGATTGATTATAGTATCAATAACCACATAATTTTTATCATAGAATAGATACTATTATCAATATTTTTATCTGTTTTTCAAACAATGCTTTCATTATTTTTGTTTTGAAATGTTGAAGTTTGATTTCAATTTATAAAACCATATGAAACTAAGAATTTAATATTTTTTTTAACAAGTTTCTATTATGTCGAAAATATTTACTCCAACTAATCAAATTCGTCTCACTAATGTGGCTGTCGTTCGGATGAAAAAAAACGGTAAACGATTCGAAATAGCGTGCTATAAGAATAAAGTAGTTTCGTGGAGGAATGGCATGTATGTTAACACCGGCTAAAATACTTGTTGTTTAACAAAATTAATTTTCTTCTTATTTTCTTTTACTTATAGTGAAAAAGATATTGATGAGGTGTTACAAACACATTCGGTGTTCACTAACGTATCCAAAGGCCAAGTGGCCAAAAAGGAAGATTTACAAAAAATTTTTGACACTGATAACTCAACGGATATTTGCAAACACATATTAGAGAAAGGCGAGTTACAGATTTCTGATAAAGAAAGATCAGCTCAATTGGATGCGTCTTATAAAGATATTGCCACTATTGTTGCGGGTAATTAATAAAAATATAAAATAAATTTAAAACATACATTTTAATTTTGAATAATATTTGTATATCCAGATAAATGTGTTAACCCTGAAACCAAAAGACCATATTCTGTAACCATGATAGAAAAAGCAATGAAAGATGTACATTATTCAGTAAAACCGAATCGAAACTCTAAACAACAAGTAAATACTAATAATTGCTTGACAGACTGTTGATATTCCCAATCTCTTATAATCAATAAACATGTTTTGAACAGGCTCTCGATGTCATTCGTTTAATCAAGACTGTACTTCCGCTTGATAGAGCTATGATGAGGCTCAAAGTTGAATCAACGAGCAAAGATGCAAAAAAATTGAAGGAAAAATTTGTTGCTCTAGCATCGTCTGTAGAGTCTGAAAATTGGGACTCTGGAGAAATTACTCTGGTACTACAAATAATATTATTACTATGTTTACTTAGATAAAATCTTAAAAAAAATATTAATGTGTTAACTGTATTGTTATGTAGGTACTACTTATTGATCCTGGGAATTATAGACAAATAGATGAACTTGTGAGATCAGATTCTAAAGGTACTACTCAAATGGAAGTTCTTAGTTTAAAAGAAGTTGTAGAAGGAGACACCTTTTTAGATTAAAGGATTTATGTTATTATCTTGTGTAAAAACTTAATCAACTATCATTTATGTATTACTGTTGTATATTTTTTTGAAGAACTGATAATTTATAATTGGTTATTTTATTAAATTTAAAACATTGATAAGTTTCTGTATACAGTTAATATCATAGTCTATATATACTATTATATGTATCATGTCTATAGACTATAGTTAATAATACAATGCATATGTTTTTATAATATTATCATTGAGTATTTATTTTTACAATATAATATATACCCAATGATAATATCTAAAAATTCAAAGATAATGATAAAACCTCTTAATATTAAAAACAAATACATTTTTAACATAGTTTGAAATTTTTGAATTTTTGCCCGCTACGGTCTTGAATTTTCACTGCATCATAGACTTGGCCTTGTTTCCATAAATACTATTTTCCAAACAATAGAAACGTAATTTTAATATTTTTTAGTTATATAAAATGTTAAATGAATTTATCGAAATTGATTAACATAAAAAATTATAGGAAAAAAACCATTTTTGTAAGGTAATGGGAATCATCCCCTCATTATGGTCTCCTGTGGTTTCCTGATAATGTTCAATGATTCAAAAAAATAACTATTTTGTGAAATTACCGTGAACCCATTTTACTTTTAAATGCACCTCAATACCTTATATTTAAAAATATTTCTTCTGTGATTTTTTTTAAAAATGTCAGTGGTCTATCTTATCTAGAAGGTGTGTTATTATACTGAATCCGTTATCATTTAAATTTACAATAATGTAAGCAAATTACTTATAAGTTGGTTTAAATTAAAAATGTTTTATGTTTATCCTAACTTTCTAAATTATAATAAGTTTTTAATTGGAATTTTAAATTTCCAAAAAAAATGAAGGTGCTACATAATATATTTAATTAAAAAAAAAGTACCTATTTAAGATATTATTAAATTATTTATAACTATAACTACATGAAATACTTGAAGTTAGAACATAATTGTATTCTAAAATGAACTGCATAGGATGTAACAGATAGAACTGACTTTTGGAATTACTTTTGTTCTAACCAATATTAAAATATTATATGTATTATATAATTTATAGTCACTTGCGCTATTTATATTATAAAAAAAATTAATTTTATTTTTTAACAGAAAAGAAAAAATTTTGAATTTGATTTAAATTTTTTGGATAAATTCGAAATAGCCAATTTGTGAACCTGATTATAAGAACAATTTTCGATAGTAAAAACATTTATCTAAGTCAAGTAGCTTATTTTATAGAAATTTTAAATACCAATATTTTTTTGATTAAATAAATGAATTTGGAACGTGATAACTTTTTCAAAATATTTTTTTTTGGAATTTGCTGACATGAGTATAGTTCTTAAATTATTTACTAATCATATAATTTTAACAATTTTAGTCATACGCTAAGTTGTATCATTTTTTTTTGTCAATTTTTTCTGTTACACCTTTTATATTAAAATACATGATTTATTAAAATAGGTACCAGTATTTATTTCATCTTCAAATTGTTTCCATTTAATTCTTTCTGGACATTCTTTATCTTTATACATTAGCAACAATACAGATAATTCTGCCTCGGGATAGTACATTATGCGTAATGAACTAACTCCGATCATGTCTAGGCACCTGCGAAATTGTGTTACTGTTACATGTCCTCTTCCATGAGGGTCAAATGTCTACATAATTTGCAATGGTTAATATATATATATATTAATAACCAAATTAATTTAAACATGTCAGTTTTCTTACTTTGAAAAATTGTCCAATATCTATTCGATTTGCAAAAACGTAATTTTGAAGTTTTCTCATTATAATTAATACATTATCCTTTATATGTGCTTTATTTGTTAATAGTGGATGAGTAACATTTTTATTATCGTATGATCTTGTACCATTTTCTTTACTTTTGTCGTTTATGCTTACCTTTGTAATATAAATGATATTATTTAATAATTAATAAAACTATAATTTTTCAAGCAATGAAATTTTATTGGTATCTACTAGAACATTGAAATAGTTTTGGTTTAATTTGATTTCTATGTAGTTATTTAAGTTGAACATATATCAATGAATAGATACATTTATTTTTAAAACTTATAACTTTTGTTTAAGATTCTTTTTCTATTACAGAGTTTTTTGATATAAATTAATAGATCATATTTTATAACACTTTTAAAGGTTATTTATGTTTTGTTGTAATAATGATATTAAAACAAATATATTTATATATTATATCCATGATTTTTATGGTTTAAAAAATGTATTTAATATAATATAGTTATTGGTGGATGTTGACTGTCGGAAAATTATATTCGGAGTCACAATGATCAATTTGTGTTAGCTAGGTAATTAAAATAGTTTAAAAAAAAAACAGTTGAAATTACCAATTAAGTATGGATGTATAATAATAATTTATAATACTCACATCAGTAGAAATTGATTGTAGATTATTTTGTTTCATCCAGTTCAATTCATCTAAAAACATTCTAATGTTAGTCTAATGACCATTGGCCAGTTCTCTTAAGTTCTAACAAATGCTTATTTTTTTTTCAAGTCTTAGACTACCTATCCAAGGTAAGATACAAATTTATATCGCAATGGTATGATGTCTTAAACGGAATTTTGTTTCGTTGATTTTTGCATATTTATGGTTTTTAGTGCTATTTTTTGATATTTTTTCCAAAATGTGTGTTTATGAATGTTTAACATGATGGTGACTACTCTAAAAAAGTCTGTCAAATTTCAAAATCTGGAACTTCAAGTGGTTAACTTTTTAACTAAGTACCTGTGTCCAAGTGTCCAACTGACAAATATTATGGTGATCACTAGGGCCGGATTGGTATGTATCGGCCCATCAAGATTTTCACTTCTAAGCGGCCTATTTACACATTCAGAGGCCCAAATATTAAGTAATATAATTATTATGAGCTTATAGGTAGCCAATCGTATTTCAAACATGAATTTATTTTCAGTCATACTCACACAACTGGCCCAAACTTTAAGCGGCCCACCGAGATTTTCTTGGTAGCTCGCCTAACCAATCCGGCCCTGATGATCACACCACTGCAATCTTTAACTAGTTGAAACTCAAAATAGGTAGGTACTAGGTACACGAGTTACCAAAAATATTCCCAAAAATTGCTTGGGAAATGGGAGGTAATAACTGTATTATTCATTTGAACATAAAATATAAAGTGTAAATTATATGCATTTCTTATTGCCCTGATGCATGTTTATTTAACCAACCATAATATCTTAAAAATGTTTAGAGTAGCCTCAAATTCCCAATTACACAAAACCACTAGTACCGTGTGGTAGTATAATAAATAGGTACTCTAAATATTGGTACAGGCACGACATACGTCTTACAAGTTTTACTTACTTGTATCTACATGGCTACAATGCTACATGATTGTTATTAAGTACTGAACTCTGTGATGTATGAATCACATTTTGTATTTGATGATCTATGGAGTATTGGAGTAATGGAGTGCTATGAAAAAAATGCAAATGCTATAAATTCCTAGCCTTACTTATTAGTAACTACATTGAAAATTGTAAAAAATGTTATATGCCTATTTATACCAACTATATTAATAGATAATAATAGTAAGAGGTGCATAAATTGGCTCATATATTCATACCTTCATTTTTTTTTGGTAGGTCATTGTGTATAATTTCACAAAATTGTCCATACGGTACTTGTCCATTGGAATTTTCAAAATACCTGACTAGAAATTGTATTTCTTCATCATTTAAATTAACGATAGATTTTAATGGTCCAGACAATGCATTTTTGAATATGATAGCTCAATAATAAAAGTACAAAAATAAATACTAAATTAATTGTTCAGGCACTCAAATTTCAAGAATTAATAATTGTTAATAGAAACAAACTTGATAGAAATAGAGTAATTATAATTACCTGTTACAAATCCAGTGTTATTTACATCATATATTGAATAATATTCCCAAAAATTAAATTTGATGAAATTCACTACATCTCGAATTTTGTTGCAAATTGTCCAAAAATCTCGTTTAACCTTAGATGTGTGCTGAAAATAAATTATTATTATTAGGCTTTACCTATTTATTATAGGTGTACCTAATACATGCAAATATATAAACATAAATTAATAAATTACCTCCATTTTAACTTTGTAAATTTTTAATTAATTGAAACTTCAAAAATTTTAATAAACAAATAAACCATAATAAATGTATTATTTTAATAATTATAATAGTAGGTAGGTATATTAATAAATAATAAATATGATTTAGGTATGAACGTAATGCAAAATATACACAGATAAAAGTTATTATTGGCCAAATGCAATTATTGGGAAACAAATAACAATACATTTCAAAAGATTTAACAATATTATGTACAGGGCGATATGCATCTCAAAAAGTTTTAACTTTTTTAAAATCAAATTTTTTACTATTTTTTATACCTAGTCAGTGGCGCCGAACTCAATTTAAAATGGGGTGGCAAACTAGTAAAAATTTACCAAACACCCACCCACCCAGAACCGTTAAATTAAGCGGGCATTATTAGGCCATACCTCAACGTTAACTTCAGACATTAGTCATGTAAAATAATTAAGTTTTTATCAGTTATTCATAAATACTAGTCTTCGGTAGTGATTAGTGAACATTAAGCACAAAATACATTTTTTGTGATCAAAAAAATATAAATAGGTACCCATGAAAATGTTTGTATTTGTTCTCAATTACTTTTTCTAAAAAGTGTTACAACAACTCTTGTATGGATGTATTAGGTTCTCTGTTAACTTTTAATGTAATTTTGGCTGGACTAGTTTTGTTACCACATGTATTTTATTTTAATTTAATTTTTTTTTTTGTGTCTTTCATCACGTTTTAGGACAGTAAAAGTGTTTGGATTTTCTCCAACAGTATCTTTTCTGATAGGAAAGTGAATCTAGTTGGTACCTTGGGAGGTCAAAAGTGAAAATTTCCCAGTAGTTTTCAAAAGCGGCGTGAAAAACAAAATAAAAATTAAGGAAAAATGGGAATTTTTACACTAAAATCGGTTTTCGAAAAAATCGATTTTGGTTTTTGGTGCAACTTTTAAACAAATGACCGTAGGTACATGAAATTTTGACTGAATGTTTATATTAGCATTTTCTATACACGATATCATTTTCAAAATTTTTTTATTTATTTTGAACTGTTTAGGCACATTTTCATTTGACATTTTCCATTTTTTTTAGTTTATTTTCTAAAAATATCAATACAATTTTATTTGTTTTTTAAAAAAGCTTGAAAATTTAATACAAGGCTCCTACTATATTGTTACAATGGCATTTGAAAAATATTAAAAATCCTTAGTCACAGTTTTTTTTTTATAAGCATTTAAAGTTCAAAAATTGACAAAATATGGAAAAATCACGAAAATTAGCAAATTATTTTGAGTTAAGAATTCGTAAACATTTTTCTTTTTAAATCTAATGTTTTAAAATGTAATACAAGACTCCTTATAAGATTATCTACTTTTATCAAAAAAAAATGTCTATAAGAAAGTCAAATTAATTTTTTATGAGCGTTTGAAATTCAAATTTTTACAACGTTGGATATTCACTCAATTTCTCATGTAGCGATTTCCTTATTTTGTTGTAATTCAAAAACGAATGACTGTAGATTCATGAAAATTTCATTGAATATTTATATTAGCATTTCCTATATACCATACAATTTTGAAAATATTTTGACTCTTTTTGAGCTGTTTAAGGACATTTTCAGTTTCCCATTTTTTTAGTTTTTTATTCTATAAATATAATTTAAGTTTTATCTGTTGGGCTAAAAAGTGTAAAAATTTTATACAAGGCTCCTGATATATTTTTACAATATTAGTTGAAAAATATTAAAAATACATAGGCACAATTGTTTTTTTATAAGCATTTAAAGATCAAATTTTGACAAAATTTATCAAATTTAAAATTGAATAATTATTTTGTAGTTAAAAATATATGAAATGTTCAACTTTTATACCTAGGATTGAAAATTTAAAACAAGATTCAACGTAAGTAGTAAATTCTGTTACCAAAAAATCTAAAAAATACATAAGCACAGTTTATTTTTATAGTCATTTTAAGTTCAACTTTGGACAAAAAAAAAAACCTAGAATAACTATTTTAGTTATTTTGTTGTGATTGTATAATATTATTCGTGGGTACTTGATACTCCTAAAGTATACTACTATATATCTATGATAGTATCAGGGTTTGTTGTTGACGTATAACGCATTATAAGTACCTAATGGACATTGCGATATGATTAATTTGGAATTTATTATAGGTACCTATTTTAGGTAAATTTTTTTTAATACGATAGATAAGTATATAATATGTCTTATACCTAGACTGACATACTGTCTCCGCTCAGAATCGTTTTTCTTATACAATGATATTATATCATTGAATTCAAATTTAATACTATCCATTATACAGTGACCCACTTGTAACCTACTGTACAGCAGAGCACCTTTTTATAATTTTATATCAATATAATAATTATATCATTACTGGTTTTTACAGGAAAAAAGTTGGCTAAAAATAGCCACTTCACAGTACGAAAAACCACTAACTGATAATGTAAAAATAATAGATAAGACAATTTAAACTGTTCACTATACGTCTATAGTGAATACGTCTATATACTACATACTTCATTAATACCTACATAGGAATACAGACGGCGTATAGACGTTACAGTCGTTACCCTTTTGATTCCAAGTACTAATTTACTATCGAACACTCAGTATCTAGCCATCAAATTTCTTCTGTTAGATATTTGCCCACCTGCATAACAGGACCCACCACCCACCCATTTAAAAGGGGTGGCGGTCGCCACCCTTACTATATAGGTTCGGCGCCACTGTACCTAGTTATCATTTTTAAGTTTTTTTACGTTTTTGACACCATACATTTTTTATTTCATGCTCTGAAGTCAAATATTATTCTGAGTATTTTGATCTACAAAGATCACATTTTAGACAGTTAGTTCAAAATCGTTAGTTATAATTTATAAGCATTTAAAGGTTAAATGAGCGAAGTGATACAACGCACCAATGTCATGGGTGATGGGTACCCACTAACTATCGTCTATCGTACCCCTCAAAATGTCATCTACTCCGCTAATCAAAACTTTAAATACTTAGAAAGTTATAAGTTATAACTAATGAACTACTTCTCCAAAATATGATATCGTATATTTACACATTGAAACAGTGGCGGATCTGAAGCTCATTTAAGGACGGAGCGAATCGATATCACAGAATTTCAATATATACATATTAGTCAATAAACAACTATTATATATAAAAAAAAAATTAAACCGTATAAAAATTCAACAGTATTTTATTCAATATTAAATAAACAAATGTACAAATGTATTAATAATTTATTTGAGCAACAATTGTATGGTTCTCTTTTTACCAGCCGCAAATCTGTAAATGAACAATGAAAATAGAGTATTCAGCACTCAATATTAAAATGAGTTATTTACCACAGTCACAGTGAACAAAATATTTAATTGATTTTATAAAAATGAAGTGATTACAGATTTGATGGTAGGAAAAAAGTCTCGGGGAAAATGTCCCGGAAAAAAAGTCTTGGGGATAAAAAATCTGTTTTCTAAAGATAATATCTAATAATTATGTAATCATATAATAGGTAACTACTAAATACAAAACAGATAAAACAATAATAATAGGCAATAGCTAATAATTATAAAATTAAAAAAAAAAAATATCTCATTCAATCTTAGTGACTTAGTCAATAATTATTAAAATAATATACATTTAAATATCACTGTTAGACGACTTGTCAGGAACATTTATACAGAATAGGAAAAAAAAATATTTTATATTACATAATTTTAAAAATCCTAGTTGTATAAATTGTTATTGCTGTAACTTTTAAAAATTATTTTAAAGTTTTATGAACTTTTTTTGCCCCCGAGACTATTTTTCCTTGAGACTTTTTTTCCGGATACTTTTTTCCCGGGACTTTATATCAGGGAATTTTTTCGGTTCCCTAACAGATTTATACGGCGGTGCAACACGCTGCAGCACTGCTTGGCCGTAAAATGATTTCATCTGTCATTCTATCTATAATCTAAAACTATAACCGTGGCTAGTTGTCTATGGCAATTTTGGTTAGGTATAACCAATAAAATATTCTTTTATTATCTATAACGACTATAACCAATTTCAAATTGTGAGTGTGAGAGAAAATAAATTCATGTTTAAAATAAAATTGGCCACCTATAAGCCTCGCAATAATTATAGACGTAATTTTGGGCCACTGAATATGTAAATGGGCCGCTTATATAGAAGTGAACATCTGGATGGGCCTATCGCCTATACGGCTATACATACCAGATTTCTGATTATTATATTCCGGCCATTTAAATTTCAGTGAAGGTTTTTCCCATGTAATATTTTCCTACTATTTGTTTCCCCGTATTCATTATTCCGGTGTAGTTATTTTCCTGATTTAGAATTCTTGTGTATTATTTTCCATATATAAATTTGGAAAATAATTTTCCTCCTGAAATTATTTTTCTTCCGAAACTTCTAAAATAAACTTTACTGAATTTGATTTTACTAAGAAGTATTTTCCCCGTCATGGAAGCATTTCTGATAAATATTTTTCTAAATTTATTTTTTCTTGACGAAATTTACGCGTCACCAAATTATTGTATTTATATTGTGACACAGAAACAACAATTTACTATAAACATAATATAGTATATATACAGCCATATAAGTAGGTAATACATAGGATTTTAATAGGTACCTAGAATGTTGGTGCCTAAGTACATTAAAAATATTATGTCATTATTTCATTTATTTGTTATTATTATTGTTACGTTGTTTGTTATAATATTACCGTATTTACGTTAGTGTCAATAATCAATAATATTCAATACACACAATTAATACACAATTTATATTTAGAATATTTGATAACAATTCCGAGTTCACCAATGCACATACCTCCCCCACCCTTATAGATGAGATATAATATTTCATTCATATATTCAGCAGCAGCTGCTGCTGTGGTCATTGTCGAGAGTCAATTATCTTTCTTTAATTTAACGGTTGAAGAAGAATTTGGGGATCCAA